GAGTGTACAATCTGATTGGTTCCTCCAATGGACCTGTGGAGCTCTGCAGTTAAGAAGTGTCTGCTTTCAGAACACCCAGTGTTGCCAACTTAGTGACTTTGTCGCTATATTTAGCAAGTTTTTAGACCTCTCTGGCGACTCGTTTTCAAAAAAGCGACTAGCGGCAAATCTCGCGACTTTTTCTGGTGTTATTGGAGACTTTTGGAGACTCTGACGCGGAAGCACGTATTGTTCTTACTCTCCTCACCGAGCAGTGGGTGCTGCCGTGGGCTCCCCTACCATCCCAAAGCATTCACAGGCAGACAGTCCTCACGCAGCAGCCCCGCCCAGCTGCAGTCAGAGCAGGAGATGTTCCCCTTTCCGCGTCCAGACTGCAAATGAATCGCGCATGCGCAAAGCCACCACTGGCTGATCCTGCCCTGGCTAATTGCCAAAAACTCCACCAAGTAAACAGTTAAATGACAGTTTTCAAGAATAAGTAACTCTGCCAGAGTGTCTCTTTGGGGTCACTTTTGCCGGTCCAAAGCTCGGAAAAAGGAGGAGGGTTGGAATTGTGATATATAAAAACAAGAATCAACAGAAAAAAGTTCATTTGTAGTTCTAAACGTATTTGGGGTGTTTTTTAACCACCTTTTGTCTCTCCCACGACATTATTCCTCTCTCCTACAGCGTCCATTATAATTATATGCACATTATGCAAATTAGGTGATGGCGTCATTTAGCGACTTCTAGCGACTTTTGGGACAACCAATAGTGACTTTCTTTGCTGAGGAGTTGGCAACAGTGAGAACACCGGACAATCTCCACTGTCGGGCCGGAAATCACATGACCTCCACATCTGGCCTGGACATTACGCTACTGAAGTGATTTCACGTAGATATATAATGTAAATTTAAAATAGACTACTAACATTAATTTTAAAAGAAATAATTAAAGTTAGTTCCCCAGTGCTATTGTGGAGTTCATCATTTCTGGTGCGCTAGCTACAGCATGATGGCACTGTTTTACACCCGAGGCGTGTTTCACAAAGCAGGATTTCTTGCTTAGCCAGATAACTTGTTGGATTTAAGGTAGTCTGGGCTTAATATAAGTGAACAAAAATAAAGTCCATTTAGCCCAGACTACCTTAGGGTGCTCTTCCACTGCACCAGCTACTGTACTTTTTGTATGGTACTTTCCGTAATTTCCTTTTCCCATTGACTTCCAGTCGAGTACCAGTACCAAAAGTTCCAATACCTAAAGTACCAAACCAGCTGGAGTACTTTTATGGTGCTTCGGTACTTTGGGGTGGGACTTGTAAACGCTTTTTTGTTGATTGGTTATGCAAGTAACTTGCCTCTGATACATAATACAACCACCATCTTGAAAAAAAGTTACAAACTCAGAAAACATTGATAAATGAATCAAAAAAAGTTTTAATAATGGATGGATGGACAAATGAAGAGACCCAAACTTTAATTGCGATCTGGTCAGAAGATTAGATACAAGATCAGGATGGCATGACAGGAAATAAAATTATTTTGTATTATATACTAGGACTGTATGATATTTGAAAAATTTCAAATATCGCAATGTGATTTTGTTGTAATAAATACTGAGATATTTATAAAGCAAAAAAGAAGTTCAAATGAAATATATTTCTCACAATCCCATCTAGGAGTTATTTGAACAGCAGGGATGAAAATGATTATGATTGTCTCAGTGAATGCATGCAGTGCTCATGCAAAATGTAAAATTTAAACAGATTTTTTAAACATATACTTCATAATCTTGAAAAGTAATAACTATTAAAATTGCAAAGCTTGCTAATTTATTCATTTTTCCTATGAGAGAATAAAAATGTTTTAGCAAAACTTAACTCCCCAGCACTACAATATCTGTGGAGTATGAAGGCATGAAAAAGCCTGATCTCAACTTAGCAATCGCGGTACTTGCAATGTGAGAACTGCATGCGCATTTGGTATAACATCGCACCTCGCCCAGCCCTATAATATACACAGAAATTTTTCAAATTCAGTACAAAATACCCCACCTTGCATTGCAATGTCATTCAGCACCAATACCAGTGCAAGTGTGCAAAAACAATCAACACAAAGAAGTTCCTTGCTTCTGCTACTTTTTTTTTGTAAGTACCAAAAGTATGGTAGCTGGCCATAGTGCAGCGGAAAAGTGCCCCAAAATCCAACAAATTATCCAGCTATGCATGAAATCCGGCTTCATAAAACAGGCCCCCAGTGTTTAAAAAATAGTGTACATGAAATATGTAAATCAAAATGCAAAGCTCTAAATTGCAGAAGTGGTTTCAGTAGTATGCTTTCTGGTGCATACAAAATTTTGAAGCTACGTTAATAATTTTAGGTAGCAAACGTTACGGTTTATATTTTGTCTACATTAGGTTATTACAGTTAACCCGGTTGTATACATTAGGTTTTAGGGCTTAATCAGGCTGTCTTTTTTGTATTAGATTCGATAAATTGTTCAGCTATTGTGTTTTAGACCAGTGTTTAAACAAATAATGTGTTACTCTGTCCTGATAATTGTCTATAGTCTGTGGAGGAGGCAGTCAAATAAGAATTTCACTGTACTTTGTACATGTGACAATAAGCTGGAAAAGGCTTCAAATTGTATGCATTATCATATATTCACAAATATGAAGGTAAGAAAGTGAAGCAAGCTAGCTTAGCTAAGGCTACCAGTGTTCTAGTTGCCTAGAAGAAAGAGAAACCACATGTGAATGATGTGTGAAACGAAAATGCAAAAAATACAATGGTACCATATAAAAAGATATAGACCAGATATGGTAATGCAGCTATATTTTCAAACAGCTACAGTAAGTGCAAGTGGCCCATTCTGCCAGATTCTGCAGCCAAGCAACAAGAAAAACAATATAACTCTGCCTAAATGCATTAATTTGGTCTAATTTATAAAGTATTTAACACGCGTATATCAATAACACATGCATGAAACAAAATGGTGATTCATGAGATCTCTTCCAAATGACTGGTTTACCAATACCAGATACTATAAGGTGATGTGAAGATGGCAGTTAAAATGATCAGGAACATTCTTTCATGCACATATTCACTCTTCTCTTAATTTATAAGACCTGTTGTTAAAACGGATCGCAATGGAAGGTTCGCAGAAAAAAAGCTTGGGGAACACTGCTTTATCGAATTCTCATGACTATCGGCTATTTATATATGTGGATCCATGCATGCAAATGGGGAATATCAATTATCTAAATAATGAAATGCAAGAGATATCAATTTATGAGAAGACATAGAATTTGAAATAGCAAATAAAATTCTCCAAAGCGAATACGGTCTTTGAGCTAACATAAATATATGGAAAAATCAATAAACCTCTATTAAAATTTTTAGAGTTACTGTTTCTCAAACAGCCTGTTCACCCTGTTCCATCTGCAAAAGGTTCTAGAACATTCGATGCACCACCCCCAGGCTCTGCAAGTTTTTATCCCAATCTATCGCACTTCTCAACTCCCACCCATCTCATAATTACCAGTAGAAACTCTGCACCTGAATATTTGCACTATAATGTTTTACTGTCCATAAGCATTGTCCTGCACCTACAGTTTACTTACTTTATTGCACCAAGTCATTGTTGTGTAGTGTTTTATTGTTCAGTATTTATTGTTCGACAGTTCTTGGTTCTAGCTGTCTGACACTCTACAGAAATGCAATTTCATTTCATTTGTGTGCAATGACAATAAAGTGACTTGACTTAACCATACTACTGGATGTTAGTGGAGGTTGTTATGCAACAGCTTGGATGTAAACAGTATGATTTAGTTTCTTTGTATTTGAAAAGATATATAAACTATGTATTCTTTAAAAGAGCTGTGCTGTTGTGCATTGAGAGGCCCTGAACTCACCTGTGCTTTAGTGATCGGCTAGTGATCATTTGCAGTGCTGCTAGTTTGCCTTCGTTTTCCAAGCTTTGCAGTCAAAAAAGGAACAGACCCCCAAAAATTGACATTACAAACACAGATACAGTGAGCAGTGAAGTAGCATTTGTGCTGAAGGAAGTGTCCACAAGAGAGTCTGATCATGGGGAAGAGATATCCTGCCCGTGAACAGCAAACAGGGCCGAGTGAGTAACAGCACAGGCACTGCTCCACCCACTGTGGCTGTGCTCTGTATGTTATATTTTATATATGGTTTTTTAGCCACAGGGTATTCTGGTGATTCTGATAATGGTGTTTATCACACTACTCATAAACCACAAAGTAAATATATATATATATATAAAAAGGAACCAAGAAGCAGACAGAGGTAGTGCCTGAATGGCATATGTCATGTATATAACTTTGCATGAGGGACATGAGAGATTTGATCAAATCCGTGGCGCTGCAGCTGGATGAACTGAGACCTAATGACTGATGGGAGAATGTCTGGGCGGTGCATGAGCACCCAGCGGTGAAGCTCTTAGAGAATGCAGCTTTTATCATGGAACACTGTACTGGTGTCTCAGTATGTCTGCTTGATTTCTTATTTTGAAAGCTGTCTAGGAGTCGACTCAGACCCCCAGGCTAATCCAAAGACATGCAGATCATACCAACCCACTGCTGTAGCCAACTCATTATAGGTGCAGGCACATGATTATAACAATTTGCAATGATTGATTCAATCGAATAGATTAGGGAAAAAAAATTAATGACTTTCATGAAGTTGATATAGTTATTAAGCATGAAAATTGCTAGTGCTATTGCCACTATGATGATATGTGTTTAATGTGGGAAACTACATTTCTCAGGAGCCACAGAGGCAGGTCTTAATCAGTTGTTTCTTTTTATGATGGTGAAGCCGACTAGTTTATGTCCTATTAGGAAGCAGATAGTGAGTTAAAGATTGTTGATTAAGGGGCCCATTCTAGTGTTAGTTCTGCTGTGAATGTGCTCATGGGGAAAGCCAGAGCCTGCATCAGGCATGGAGCTAACTGGTAATTTCACAGAAAAATATCAACAGTTTAAGCAATCTTACCGTGAGGCTACAGTGCCACCCAAAGAGCCAAAGGTTTCAGGAATCTGAAAGATGAACAATTAAAAATAAAATAAGCAAATATTTACAGAATTCTAGTAATAATAGGGGACTTAAGTATACAAGAGAAATGTGAAATTACAATACCTAAATTTAATGTTCAGTTATAAATATGTATACAAACCATATTGTCACCTTTAAGTTGTGGCATAATCTGGGTATACACATTTAAAGTTTTGTCGTACTACACTTATATTTCCGATTAATTCACTTGTAACTACACTATAGCAACTCCTGGGATGCCAGGATTATGCTATATATAATGTTAATGTTTGGATTTGATGTTTATGCACAGAGGTGGTAGTTTTTAGCCATAGACATTTCGAGCTGTGTTCAGTTTTCACATGGTTCAAAGAACTGAGAAACAATATCAGCTATTCATAAAACTGTGGCTTCATTAGACAGATGCGGATGAGTCGTAACATACAGTACAGCTACTCTGTACAGTAGTGATAGTTAAACTCATCAGTTTAAAATAAAGATGTAGGAAGTTTATACAGAATGGCTAAAATCCAAGGATAATACTCTAAGCAGCACAGTAAGATAAAGTCTTATGGATAAGAGTCTCAAATATTCTTTTATGTAATTTGGATTTTTAAAGACATTATTTTCCAGTAGTACAATATTACATCTGGATTTACTTTGGATTCCTTCCAAAAAAGCTATGGAAAAACTTTGCAAAACAACCTGTTAAATTCAGCAATGCAGGACCCTGGACTGGATAAGCAGTTACAAGAATTTGTGTAGATCCTTCAACTAAGCAAGGCCTAGATTAATTAAGAATTACTGACCTTGTTCAAACACATACAGTAGACATTGTTCCAGTTTTGCGTCTGAGAATGAGATGTTTAAGTAATTCAGTTTAACTGTGATGGAGTGAAAAAAATAAGAGGAAGAGGGTTGCAACATTGTGTGGTTTTGCTTCACAGCTTAACACCCTTCGTACTGCTGTCTGTTACCATGGTCCTTCTTCCTCAGGCAGCAGAGGGTAAGCTTAACATCAGCATTGACCATGAGCCACAAGTTGCACGCAGGGAACAAACAAGTATTTCATTTTTAGAGAACCCTCTTTTACACGTCCTTAAGCAGTGGAACCGTAAACACAGAAATAAGCCAGAATACAGTGTGAATGTATTACACTAGCTAGGAATATCTATTTTCCCCAAATAACATAAAACATTATGTTTTAAATTGGTCTAAATGCCTTATTGCAATTATTATGTGCTATTTAATGTGCTTTAACATAATTATATGTTGGATGGGTGTTAATCTGTAAAGTAGAAGATTTATTTAGTTTTTACTGCATATTTGTTTTTTTGTAACATTTTGCACTTTCCTTCGGCTGTATTACTTTGGGCCATTGAGCCATCACCATCCTCTCTCCTTGGAACTACTGTATTGAGCATTACCCCTCTGTAGGGTTCATTGTGACCAGCATCATTCTTTTTTAACTTTTGTAAGGGTTTAAGCAATTCTGTGGACTGGTTGCTGTTGTTATGACGGGGTATGACTGGAGGAAGGATGGTGTGGCTTACGAAAGTTTTGTTTTTATTATAAACAGACTAAACAAACAGGAAACAAAGGAACCATGAGGAGTCAAACATAGGCAGGTAGGGCACAGGACTAACTAGACCACAGGTGTCAGACTCCAGTCCTGGGGGGCCGGAGCCCTGCACATTTTTGGGTTTCCCCTCATTTAACAGACCTGATTCAACTTCTTGTGCTAATTACCACATGGCTGTTGAGCTGAATCATTTGTGGTAGAACAGGGAAGGAACTAAGCTACACAGGGCTCCGGCCCCCGAGGACTGCAGTTTGACACCCCTGAACTAGACTATAACTAAGATGAGGGAAAACTAACACTAAACATGGTTGGGGAAACACAAGCAAGAAAGACAAACAAGAAGAGAAACAGGAACAAATACAAAGCAGCAATAGCTACAATGACTGACTATGAAAGAGAATAAGGGCAAGCACTTAAATACATGAGACGAGGGCTAGGTATGGAACAGCTGCAGGCAATAACCAATTAACGAAATACTGAAGACCAGAGTAACAAGACACAGGTGAAGGTAATAACACTACAGATTTAAACACTAGGAGATACTGGGAATAGTCATCCCTCACGCTTCGACTTTCACGGCTTCACTCTATTGCGATTTTTTGTCTATTGATTACAGTTTTTTACAATCGCTATGACAGTTTTTTCAAAACATTTAAGTTTCCTAAACTCTTAACGCACCATCACGCCTAAAACACACAATTGGCAAAACGGTTAATTTCATGCTCAAAATCACACCGTGTAAACTAAACCCCAAAACTAATTTTCAAAATACAATAATAAACTACCACAGTGCACTATGTCTAGCAAAGCACTGCAAACATGTTTTAAAATCAAATAATTATTCAAAACAGTAACACATATTCCCTTCCAACAGGAACATTTAGTCAATCATAACACATTGACAAAAAAACACTATCATCAGCTGAAATTACAGAAACTGCATTATTTTATGTGTCAGGTCTGCCCTTATATTTGAAGCCTGTCCACATTTTTGTTTTGTTGGGTTTTGTTTCTTTTCAATTCAATACAAAAAAGTGAATGACCATCTCAGAGTAGCTTTATAAAATGTATGTCAGCTCGCGGCAAGCAGGCAAGCGGTGAAGCAGGAGAGCGAGCCGGAAATACGGACAAACGGGGTTTAATGGAGGCAGACTGACGGACAAAGCACAGCACATGACAATACAATGACAAGTCTGGGGAAGACTGACTCAGACGAGGACTAAATACAAAAGACAAGCTAGACTTAACAGGACACAGGTGATCACAATTAGGGCTGAACACGAGGTAACGAGGTGGGCGTGGCACACATCAGGAGCGGGTCATGACAATGTACAGTTTATGTAAAAAAAAAAAAATACAGACACAGAACTGCTTCAGTACAGACTTTATTTGCAAAAGGACATTACTGCAAGATATACAAACAGAAAAAGCACCGTAATTATAATTTAAAAAAAACAAAGTAATCTTCTATTCTGCCCGGTCTTCTGCATTTGGCCACATGTTCTCATCCACATCACACCTGATATCTTCTCTGGCAAGGTATCGTGGGAAGAATCTTTTGGCATGCCTTATCCACCCCTGGCAGTGTTCAGCTGTGATGTCTTGGCATGCAGCATCCATTGCATCCAGGAGGGGCATTTGGTCATGTGGACGATGGTCAAAAACCTTCCATCTCCAGGCTGAAAAAAACTCCTCAATGGGGTTGAGGAAAGGGGAGTAAGGGGCAAGGAAATGGGACATCATCCTTGGATGGGC